AGTTATGAGAACTAAAATAACTTATTTTGAAACTTTTTATATTAAGGGTATTTTAGGTAGTTTATATATTTGAATAGTGAAATGGGTTAGTTTGGGGTTAGTTTGGAATTTTACCTTTGAATTTGGGTCATTTGCTTGTATATCCCATCAAAGGGCGAGGGAGACTTCTAGTTCCGTCGCCCTCCTTTTAGCAATATTTAGACAATGTTTCCTATTTTGTTTTTATTTTTAAATGAATATTTGTTTTTTCTCGTTTCTTTTTAATAATATTTTCAGATGTCAATCATCAATCAATTCACATATAATTTGAATAATTTAGAAATATTAAAATTTGTAACTTATTATAAAATTATTTAAATCTATAACTTGTTTTAATGCATTAACTTTTTAAAATGAAGAATATATTGTATATAGAAAGTCTTGAAGATGCTTGTGCAAGCAGCTATGGATTCAGGAATTCGACCATCAAAGACGACAATAATGAGATCATTTATTAATATTTAAGTAAATAATATTAAATTGCGAGACATTTCGATTACTATCCTAAGTCTTTATAAACCAGGCCAACTGCCTGTCTTCTTTGTATTCTGCATGCTAATAGCCATGGGAGAAACTAAGAACACATTAATGGTGAGATTATGAAGTTAAATTATTGTGGGATATTGGAAATTTTCTTGCTGAATTTATCTACCCAAATTAAATTTCTTTTGTAATTATTTCTTATTTTCTGCCTTTATCTTTTTCTATTCGTTTGGATTGATGCAAAAATATTAATATATACCATCTAAGTAAGTACCATGTTAAACAACCTCGTCTTAAAGCTTATAACATTGAAGATATATTTCCATTCTTTACTTACACCTTAACTACAACACTGACAGAAGGTTGCAAAGCAAAAATATTGAGATTTTAGTAGATTAATGTCTTCCAAATATTTTCTGTACTGTGCTGTGTGTACAGAAACACACGACACAGAAGTAATACAGAACAGACATAGCAGCTGGCGTGGGTGGGTTCATTTTTGTAATATTATATTTACTTAATGGCAATTCACTCACAATTTCACTTCACTCTATATCACTACTCGCTCTCTCCTCTAGTTTATATCAAGTCTGTCTTACCTTCTTTGCATACGCATACGTATATATAGTGAATTCTGCCAAAAAATAGCTATTTAATTCCTCCAGATTCTAATATGTCGGCAAAAATCGAAATGGTCGGCGATGTTTTTTTTTATTTATTTTTTTTCCACTAAATTTATCAAGAACAAAGATTTTTGTTTTGGTGCTTAACGTTATTATTTTCTTTGTAAATAGTCAAACGATGTTTAATCTCAGCAGATCCATCAGAAATTTGAAGAAGAAGAAGCAAATTATCTACCTGAAAATGTAGAAGGCCGCCATCAATCTTCCTCTGGGCTGGCCTTGACCGTACAATCAGTGGCTTAAAATGGCCATTTAATGGGCTATTTCCGCTCTCAGGACGGTCAGGAGTTACACGTTTAGGTAGATTATATTTTTAGGGAAAAAAAAATCATATATGAATTTTTACAAAATATTATTTCATGTTTTACTATGTAACGATTAAAATACTAAAATTACTGTTTTGTATAAGAAATATATTAAAAATAACTGATTTCCAATAATAGAACCCAAATGACTTTTTGTAACTGAAATGTTTTGAATACTCCATCCTTCACGCCTCCCATTTAATACCTCTTCTAAAAAGGAAAGTTAATTCAAAAATGTGTGTGAAGATCAATTCGTGAGAAAATCTTGGTTTCTTGAATTATTTTGTTTTTTCGAATATATGTTTTATACATCAAATGGACATCAAGATTCAATTTTAATTCAACATCAAAATCGTTTTGTAGCTAGTTCTGGAATGGAAAACTTAGGGGTAGACTGGAACACCTTTTTTCAAAAGAATACAACAGACAAATGTGGATCATTCTTTGATTTGTGGGATACTAGTACAGATTACACATTTCGTGAAATATGCATGAAGATCAATTTGTGAAATATTTTTTTGGGATTTTTTTGGATGGAGATGATTCACGTTCTACAATAAAATTGGAGGAAGATAACAATGTGAATCATTTCTTTACTTTATGAGATTTCTACATATTACATCTCGCGTAAGATATGTACAAAAATCAAATTGTGAGATATTTTTGGGGTTTATTTTTTGAATGAAGGTGATTCACTCTTTACAATGAAGATGAAAATGCATGTTTTTAGGGATTTCTAAATAATTCATACATAAGGGCCTATTTGTTGGAATCAAAATGTATTAATTGTAAAGGCACGTTTGTAAGAGTAAAATATGTTACCTAATTTATTATTCTTTTGATTTAGTTTTTACTATTATTTTATAGTATTTATTGGAAAAAATTGTTTACAAAGTATTTTTTAAAATATTTACTACAAATAAGGTGGGTGGCGCAATTTTCACTGTATTTTAATTTTATGAAAGGTGGAAATAGCAAATGGTTGGTAGCACTTTCAAGTAATGTGGGGTTTCCAGTTCTTATCCCATTCATTTTCATCTAAAAAAAGGCTGCGCCAAGTAATTTAACCAAAATATAAGTTTTCGTCGAAGGCAGCACGGACGGTTGTCGTAGCTCGTCGGGTGCTGACTTCGCCACTACTTGCAAGTTTTACTTGTAGGTATAAATAAATATTTTATTTTTTCATTAATGTGATAGATGACAACAAAAACAATTTATCTTATTTTAATTTTGGATGTAATCTGCCAATTAAATTCAAGGCCAAAATTTTTCATTATATTTGCTGAAAAAAAAATGAAATTAACAAACCGTTCCGTCTATCTAGTGTAATTTTTTTAGTAAAATAATTCAATATAATATATATAAATAAAAAAGATACAAAGTTCTTGTTTGATAAAGTTTTTGTCATGGAGCCCGTGTGACAACTATTATTTGAGAAAAATAAAGTTTCGAATACTGAATTTTAGAAGAATGTGTGGTTGAAATGTATGAATTTTTTTTAAATTTACATACATAATATTTTATTGTGTTAATTTGTGGTTGAAAATGAGTGTATAGAAAAAAGTGTTTTCAAATAATTTATCAATTAGGGGCTGAAATTGATGAATTATGTGAAATATATAATTTAAATACAAATAAAAATTATGAGTTCAATGAAGTATGTGAATAAAAATAAATTTTAACAGCGCGTCAAACATGATTAAGCCCCTATTTGATGGATATTATTTTGGAAAAAAATTTTAACAGTGATTTTTTAGAGAATATGTAATTAAAAAGTAAGAAAAATTTTGAATTTACGTATAAAATATTTAATTGTGTAAATATATGATTGAAAATAAATAAAAAATTAAATAATTTTGTTTTAAAGGGCGACAAACGGTGGCTAAATTCAAGTCTAATTAAGGGCTTTGAAATAGATTTATGAAAAGTAATTTTTTTTTAAAGAATGTTTGGTTGAAAAATAAGAATGATTTTACGTGTATTATTATTTTATTTAAAAATGAATTTAAAAAAAAAATAATTACGCATTGAACCATCCACGCTGTATCTCGACGTTTCCATGCAGACAAGAATTTGGTAGAGAAGTCTCTAGACGCTCTTACCTTGACATACTCTTCTTCATATTTGTAGAACTCTCTAGAGCCAAGTCCAACTCCCTACCCTAAAATTTTCCATAAATACCCCAATTTCTCTCCGATTCTTGCACAGAAGTAGTCAGAATCACGAACATTTCGTTCGATTGATTATATTTAGCTCTCTTAAATTACAACAATCTTCATCAACTGCGAGTTTAAACACTAAAGGGTGCCAATGGATGATGATTTTGAGTTCCCGGCCGCAAACAACGATGCAGAAATGGCGATGGGTGATGATGACATGGATCTCCCTGCGGGTAATTCAATTTTGAAAGTTGGAGAAGAAAAGGATATTGGTAGTGGCTTGAAAAAGAAGCTGCTTAAGGAAGGTGATGGCTGGGAGAAACCCAGTTCTGGCGACGAAGTTGAAGGTACGTTAATGAATACGTTACATATACACTGTATAAGGAGGGTGTTTAATTTTTAATGTATCTGAATTAGATCTCGAAATTTCGCCCAAATTTAGCCTTAGTATTTTTTGGGGGAATTAATCGGTTTGATAAATTATTTTATTTTGCAGTACATTATGTGGGTACTTTACTGGATGGGACACAGTTTGATTCTAGCCGTGATCGAGGCACTCCCTTCAAATTTAAGCTAGGCCAAGGTATATATCTTCCCATTGTATTTGAATGCTGAGATGTATTTAGAGATGTAAGCCGGATTTACTTTTCATTTGCGTACTCAGGGTATCGTCTAACGGCACATTTGAATTGCGAGTTTTGAAACTTTTTAATTGAATTGGTTCAACTGTACATACAGTGTAGAAAATCAGAAATAACGTTCCCAATTTCTTCATTACTTGCACAGGTCAAGTAATCAAAGGGTGGGATGAAGGAATCAAGACTATGAAGAAAGGTGAAAAGGCCCTTTTCACTATTCCTCCAGAACTGGCTTATGGAGAGTCTGGATCGCCTCCAACAATACCGTCCAATGCAACGCTTCAGTTCGAAGTTGAATTGCTCTCGTGGATCAGTGTAAAAGATATATGCCAAGATGGTGGAATATTCAAGAAAATAACACTTCAGTTCGAAGTTGAATTGCTTGCATGGATCAGTGTAAAAGATAGATATATGCAAAGATGGTGGAATATTCAAGAAAATACTTACAGAATGAGAGGGTTGGCAGAATCCTAAAGATCTCGATGAACTAATTGCTATTGTATTCGCCAGCTGTTAGGTTTGCTGACATCTTATATATATTTCATCGGATGAGTTTGATGATGCTTTATGTTATTCTGTATTTTTATTGCAGTCAAATACGAGGCTCGGCTTGAGGATGGAACCCTTGTTTCGAAATCAGAAGGAGTGGAGTTCACAGTGAATGATGGTATGTAATATGTATGCTATTATTTTATTTTTCATTTTTTTCCTTTATGATTGTTTCGTGTTGATGGAATGTGATTAATGAGGAGATCTTTGTGCAGGTTATTTCTGTCCTGCCCTTTCCAAAGCTGTTAAGACAATGAAAAAGGGAGAAAAAGTCCTCTTGACTGTGAAACCTCAATGTAAGTGTAAAAACAACACCCTCAAATGATATTTTAGTAGGCTTTATACATGTATAGAATATCCAACAAGTTGATTTGTTGTCGAGGGAGTAAGTATACAATGTGATTAAGCTTCATATCCGATATGTTTACATGATTCGTTGCAGATGGTTTTGGAGAGAATGGCAGGGAGGCCACTGGTGATGAATGTGACGTGCCACCAAATGCTACCATTCATATAAATTTGGAATTGGTTTCATGGAAAACAGTTTCAGAGATTACCAGTGACAAAAAGGTTTTGAAAAAGATACTCAAGGAAGGAGAGGGTTATGAAAAACCCAATGATGGTGCCATTGTGCAAGGTAAACTCTGTTAAAAGATAATCACAAATTCCTAAAGAATCATTGTATTTTCAGTTTATGTATTGTGGAAGTTCATCACTTCATTGTTTCTTGCTATTGGTCAGTAAATTTGATCGGGAAGCTGCAAGATGGAACTGTTTTTGTGAAAAAGGGATACGATGAGGAGCCACCTTTTGAATTTAAAGTAGATGAAGGTAATATTTTCATTTCGATGAGACTATAGTTAGCTATGATCTTTAAAGATCATGTGGTCTTCTTGAGATTGTTCCTTCACTCAATTATTGGAAAAGACGGCCCTTATTAATTATGAACTTATTCTACAGAACAAGTTATTGAGGGTCTTGATAGAGCCGTGAAGACTATGAAGAAAGGGGAAATTGCACTTTTAACTGTACAGCCAGAGTATGCATTTGGTCCATCTGAATCTCCACAAGAACTGGCTGCTGTTCCTGGAAATTCCACTGTGTATTATGAAGTTGAGATGGTCTCCTTTGTGAAGGTAGGTGAATTATGATGAGATCACTGGATATGCTTCTTTATTCAGAGAGCTGGTCAGTCCAGTAAATTGGACCGGCAGGGCCTAGGCCTGTGACGCCTGTCAACACTAGGATCGACAAGGTCTTGAGCCATGTTGGGCTTAACTGGTTTCATTGTATTCTTAATTTATAATTTTGCTCAAAATTTCTAATCTGTCGTTGAAAGCTCCAAGATAGGTACAGTGTAGCAATCAACACCCCCCATCCCAGAGATGGTATAGGTCTGGGCCTGTTACGTGCATTGGTGGTTCAATACGTTCTTATGTCTTTAGTGGGTAATTTATTTTAAAGCACCATTTTAATTGTTTATAGGAGAAGGAATCTTGGGATATGAGTACACCAGAGAAGATTGAAGCTGCTGGGAAGAAGAAGGATGAAGGGAATGCATTGTTCAAGACAGGAAAGTACGAAAGAGCCTCGAAGAGATATGAAAAGGTACTTGCATGATTTGCATTCTGCTGATTCTCAATTCTCCATTGATCCATGCAAGTATTCATCTAACAGAACTCTGTACTTTGCTCAGGCTGTCAAACTAATCGAATATGATTCCTCTTTTGGTGAGGATGAGAAGCAACAGGCAAAGTTGCTCAAAGTCAGCTGCAATCTGAATAATGCAGCTTGCAAGCTAAAACTCAAGGATTACAAAGAGGCAGTGAAGCTTTGCACAAAAGTTTTGGAAATCGAAAGTCAAAATGTTAAAGCACTTTATAGAAGGGCACAAGCATATATTCATCTAGTAGATTTGGATTTAGCAGAATTGGATATTAAGAAAGCACTAGAAATCGATCCAGATAACAGGTATAATTCCTCAGCTCTTGGCACCAATATCTTAAAAATCTGAGCTGCTTTTTAAAACACTGCTTGAGGCAGACTCTCTCTGTTATACATTGAAATCGAGTACAAAATTTTGGGTTTGTCCTCACATGTGAATACATCGCATGATGCTAGGGATGTTAAATTGGAATACAAAGTTTTGAAGGAGAAAGTGAAGGAATACAACAGGAAAGATGCCCAGTTTTATGGTAACATTTTTGCGAAAATGCTGGGGCAACCTAAATCTGCAGTAAGTGTACAAGTCTAGCATCTAAGTTTCTTGTTTGGTCCGTTCAAACCTAGGATGAGCTTTCCAACTAAGATACATAATCTGGTCTGATTGATAGTACTGATACTGTAAATGCTAATGTCAAAATGCAGGATGCAGATGCAAAGAATGAGACAGTACCAATGACAATAGACAGCAAGGCATAAGTCAGCTACTTCACCTTCCACATCTTCGACAGATGAGGGCAAGGGTTATAACACTGATCTTCTGTGTCTTCCTTTTGTGTATGTAGTTGGAAGTGTGTGCGTGCGTGGTCATCGTTGATGAGCGTCTGTGTCATAAAGTGTCATGCTATACTGATTGTACTAAGAACCTAGATCAAAAGTTTTTCTTATTGAACAATGATTAAAGGAACTCGTATCAATTTACAATGAATGGAGTAACTTTTATTTAGAATTGAATAGTGGTTTGTGATTTCTATTCATACTTGATTCCCGCTATGTACGATCAAGAGCAAACTAGGTAGAATGATGCAGCAAAATTTGGCTTGTTAATGAGTATTGATCACTTTCTTCAGATGGCATATTGATGCAAATTATTCTTACAGGCCAGACTGTAGGAGGAAGAAATACAATTAAAGCATCGTATCATTGCAAAGAAAACATAGACAGGATCTATTTGAAAGAAATTATGTGAGACAATGCAATTCTCCCGATGTTTGTTCATCATCTTTGATAAAGAGAACCTTGTTAAATTTTGGATGCAAACTGAGATCGGATATTTTTGTACGTGCATAGAGGAATCTTAAGAAACACCAATTGCGTTTAAGATAAATGTTCAACAGCATTTTCTCATCAAATCCAATAACAAGACAAAAATTCCTTAACCGAAACTGACACACTGTACTAACTGACACTGTACTATCTAGTTCACGATGTTTATAATTCGACCCAACAGACTGACAAGCTCAAGAGAAGCACGTGTCCAGATGGTTAGGCAGCTGCACCTTTTCCCTTCTTCCTCTGAAGCTTCTTCATGTAGAATTCAAGTTCCTTGCCTTCCAAAATATACCTGGACAAATTCACGAGGTTCAGATGATGCATGAGTTTACGAGAATATACCTGCCACATATGAGACTTACCCATCAGCCCGGCCGCATTGACCTGGTCGAGATGAAATGCAAGCCAATAACCTGCCAGAACCAAACTGTTCCTCAACGTGAGAATCGAGTTTACGAGCTTCTTGTCGTTTCTCAAGCTTCCTGAGCACATGGTTACTCTTCTTTGTTTCCTCTGGGGCGGCAGTGCTTTCTCCGCTTTCCTGTTTATTCATAAAATCACACTGCATGTGAGATATATAGTTTAAGAAATAGTTTCCTGTAGAAGCCTCACTGCTTACATCGCACATGCAATAGCCAGAACCAACCGATCAAGGATAGAGAGGATTGGGGACCTGCAGAATGATGATAGCCTACACATTGCCTTATTAGGATGACAGCAAAATCGTGCCTCCACAGATACCAAATGAAAAGGACATCAAATTCAAGCATTTTAATAATTCTGTTTTCATTTTGATTTCTGGTGGTATTAAAGGAGTTCCGAAGAAATGATAATTGTATTCTGGAACAGCCTACTCATGTCAAGAATATGTCAGCATGCACAAAATGCATTATGAAGAAACAAATCCATCGGGAACATAACATGATCAAACCACACCCTCAACCTTTAAAAGTAACTTCTACAATAGAAAAGTGCATTTACAGGGAAGAACGTCAAAAAGAAAGAAAGATCACTATCCCTTTGAATTCCATACTCTATTGCACAGTGCAATTGACTAGTCCAAGGTCTTCTTCAAGATATTCAACAGATGATTCCTAGAGTACAGTACAGTGAACAATCTCTCACCAATAAACAGATTGCAAATTGATACTCAATAAGACTCGATGCCCCCTCAATGTGGAAAGTTATCTCATTATATGAACCAAAATCACAACTAAATATGGTAGCTATCAATTACAATATTCATAAATGTTAACCTATTAAATATAAAGATTGATGCTTTATATTCTTTCCTTATATTCAATTGACATCCCCCCTCCCCCTCAAATTGATGTCGATAAAAACATTAATTTGCAATTATGAACTGACGATGGTGACAATACTCGTGCCCACGAAGAAGAGGCTCAAGAACAACAAATAGTGCAAAAAAAACCAAGAACCACTCCAAAATTACTCCAGAAATCTCACAACACAAGAAGAATTTCCAAAAGAAATTCATAAAGTGTGCCGACCACACACAATGAGTTCTATCAATCGGAAGAACTCAGTCGAACACATAATTCGTGTTTCAAAAAAAGTTCTAACGGCTAAAGCACCGACCAAAAATCCAACAAGTTGGAAGAAATTCCACTGAACAATTTACACCAAAAACTCGAGATGAACTTGCTGTAAGAATCCAAAACCACCCGAGGATGATCCTCCGCCGAGAATCCAAGATGAAATAAGCACAACAAATAAATTCAATAACAATCCAAAGCCCAATAAAATGACCAACAAATACAGCAGCACATCTCACAAACAACCCATTAAGCCCTGGCCCATATCCATCCATCCATCACTCACAAAACTAAACCTAACAAACACAGATGATTTCAATGCAAAATTGATGGAAGGCCTTTATCCCAAAGCGCAGCTAATCCATACCCAATTCCAAAACATGACCTAGCCTGTTAACCTAACAGGACCACTCCAATAACTCAACCCAAACCACTAACCACAAATCATATCTTAGCCCAATATGCAACAAGCCTAATAACTATAAAAATAAACTAAACAACAGTCCACACAATTAGCCACAGAAAATCAGCCCATATACACAAACCTTAAATCATAACAAAACCGACCCAGTACTCTCGCCCCCGCCTCTTCATACCCGTCTCAATGACACCATTTCCACCCTTCACTGTCATCCGCAAAGTAGCTTCTAGGGCCTCGCTTTCCATCACATACCAACACCACAACCAACAGAAGCTAAAACAGACGACCTTGCCACGGCCTCAGAATTCCACCCTTCACTGTCATCCGCAACGTAGCTTCTAGGGCCTCGCTTTCCATCACATACCAACACCACAACCAACAGAAGCTAAAACAGACGACCTTGCCACGGCCTCAGACGCCATTGCAACTATATTCTCTGCCGCGGCCCCATTGTTCGGTGGGATTGCGATAGACAAATTCATTGAGGGCTTGTCTTGCCCAGAAATCGGAAATTCCAATGTCCGATTGTATAGTGTAACAAGTCCAGTGAAAAGCTTGACAGCATACTCAGCTATCTCATCTGATTCACAGTGTGCAAAGGCATAACCTGTTGGCTTTGCAGTTTACTTATCACGAGGAATATACAATTCTACCACCCGCCCATCTTGAATCAAAATATCATACAATATCCTCTTGCTCACTCTCTCATCCAAATTGTTGACGTAAACAGAGGACTTTGGATTTCTGCCATTAGTTGGAAAAAAAAATCTTTCTGGTTGTTCTAGAGACTTCTATTTGCAGATTTTCCTGTGCTCTATTCTATATTTATACCGTTTACTTTTCCTAACTGGAATGGTCCACGGATCTATAAGCGTGGTGCACCAGAAGGTCTGTGTTCAGCATCAACTTTAAGGCTAATCAACACCTTGATAGGAAATCGGTCGTATTTGGGAAACTTGTGGATGGGTATGAAGTGTTGAAAAATAAAAAAAAATTAAAGGTGCAGGTGATGATTATGGTAGACCGGCTGTGACTGTAAAGACTGTCAATTCTAGTGAATTACATGATGTCAAAAAGAAAACTTAACCAGATGAGCAGCACGAGGCCGCTCACCGGAGAACAAAAACTTGCAAATTTAACTCAAAATGTAATTTAACTCGTCTCTGATACCATATCAAATATACTCAGTAAGAATTGATACCCCTCATTGTGAGATGTTCTCTCATTATATAAAATCAAAATCACAACTAAATATGGTAGCTATCAATTACAATATTCATTAATGGTAACCTATTAAATATGAAGATTCGATGCTTTATATTCTTTCCTTATATTCCATTAACATCAAGGTGCATTTTTATTTTTTAGGCTCGCAAAAGCAAGAAGAGAAAAACTGGCTGGAAACACTCAAACACAAAACAGGGATAAGGCAATAACTTTTGGTTGGTTTGAAGATATAATAGCGATGTAATCAATGGATGATTATTGAATGGGACGAAGTTTCAGTTTTTACTAGTTGAAAAGGCATTGTACAGACTTGCACAGGCAAATGTTCTAAGTTGGGTAGGAATGGGCACAGGAAAATGTACCAATGTTCCAAAATGGCTACTGCTCCCAGGTTGAGGCGACGGATTCCACCAGTTGTCGAAGACTTGATCAATAGTATATCAATCAGTGAGGTAACAAGATGAGTCACGTCGAAGGACAACAAACAATGGACTTAGCAAGAACATGGACAACTTGTACACATGATTGCATCGATGTAAGGTCCAACAAAACACAAATTGAACCAAGTAGGCAGTTAAACAAAGCTCCAAGGTCATTTTTCATTAGAACTAGATCTGTTATATATAGGTTATTTTCAAATGTTTCTATTAACATTTTGACATTAGATTATACTTTCACTGCACCTTCCATTTCCTTTTCCTTCTCTTGTTTCCATTATTGAGATGGTAACTTATATTCCCATTAGGAACTTCTGGAAACATTCAAACCTATCATTTCATAGCACTAATAACTAGCACAAAATCATTTTTCAAATACACTACAGAACAGAACAGAAAAAAAAAACCAACATAACCTCCAAGGGGACTTAATTAAACGAGGCCAGGGAGCAAGTGGTCGAAAAGAAAGAATTTAAAATTGAACGCTAACAGAAATAAATTAATAAATCAAAAATTGTTTCCTCTCAAGTAGTGAAAGAAAACCTCTCTTTACATGATTCTTGCCTACAGCTAGCCTATAGAAAACCTGTACATTCAAACTTAAGCATCAATAGAAGTTAAATGCCAGTTTCTCAACTCGTACGAATTCATGAATGTTTCCCCTTTAATAATAATTGTGCTAGAAAAGTAAGCAAATGTCATTAAGTAATATGGGTCACAGGATTCACTCAAACAACTGCGAATCATAATCATGATTTAGAAGAATGACAATTAATCAAATTAGTC